CTGCTGGCAAAGCCGCTGGAGGGGCCGGTGCTGGCTGAGAGCGAGGTGGCCGCGCTGCCTGGGGAGGCCAGCGAGGACGGGGAGGAGTAGCCACTGGCTTCCTGCGGGAGAGAGAGCCCAGGCAGGGAGTGCTGGTGTGTCTCGTGGGATGAGGGCAGCAGGGACCCTACCCCTTCAGCACTCAGTGCACTTTTGCAGCACCCCATACTCACACTCTGGTCGGCGTCAGTGTGGCCAGTGTCGATGTCGGTGTGGCCGGTGTCGGTGTCTGTGTGTCCGGCGTTGGTGGGGACAGTGCCAGCAATGATGGGGGATGTGAAGGTCTCCGTGGGTCTCCGTGCAGGGTGCAGGCTCACCCTCCCCACCTGCACTGAGCACAATGGTGAGCATGGGGCAGTGGCAATGCCACCAGCAAGGTCACCCCCCCAGATGACACTGACCTGCTGGCTGTCCCCTGCCCACCAGCCTTGGGCATCGGTGGCTGGCAGCATCCCTGTGCAGTCAGGGAACAGATCCTCGTGGAACTCCTGCACAGACTGGGGCAGAGGGGAGGGGGTGAGATGGGTGTTCCCAAAATCCCACAGCCTCTGTCCTGCTGCAGCTGGGGCACCCCTGGGCACCCCCAGACACTTCCAGCACCCAAACTTCAGCAGCTTGAAGTGCCCAGCACCCACTGCACAACAGCACCCAGCAGGTGGCACCCAGCTGTCAGCATCCACTCTCCAGCAGGCAGCACCCAGCTCCCTAAATCCAGCACCCAGACTCTGCAACCCACCACCAGCACCTAGGCTTGACCTCCCCTCCTGCTCTCCCCAGAGCTGGGGTCTCACTGCAGCCGGGTCCTTTTTGTCACCCAGTGCTGGGGAGGTGTCACCCATGAGACAGTGCCACCCACAGGGCCCCCTCACCTTGCGTGGCACCACGTAGCTGATGGGGACGAGGGCGGTGTCGGTGAGCTGCAGGACACGGAGCACCTCGCAGGCCATGACATCCAGGGCCAGGCGTGGCACGGCCCCCAGGCCCCGCGTGCTGCCCTCTGTCCTGCACTGGGTCACTGTGGGACAGGAGGGTGGCCCTGGGCTGGGTGGCCAGGCAGCAGTGAGCCCCCCTCTGGGGGAGATACGGGTGGGAGGGGACCTGCTTACCCTGGGTGAGTGCTGGCTGTGCAGGGGCCACCTCGAAGCAGTACAGGAGGTTTTCTCCCTGGAAGAGATGTGGTGGGGACAGGGAATGAGCAGGGCTGTAGGAAGCACCCCACTGCACCCACATGCACCAAGCTGCACCTCACTACAGCCCCCCTGCATCCTCCTGTCCCCCCAGTGCCTCCCTGCACCCCCAGCCATGGGAGCTCACCTTCCCTGCCAGCACCAGCAGCCCCGTGTCGGCGTCGTACAGAGGGATGGTCACCCTGCAAGGGAAGGGGGTGCTGAGCC